CAAGAAAAGTGCTATATAAGTGTAAGCAATTATTATTATTATTATTATTATTATTATTATTATTATTATTATTCACTTGCAGTGAATGTTTATTAAATTAATATCAATTTTACACTAAAAAGTATAATCTATTTACTGAATCTACTTGAAGGACAATGTGTGAGAATAAAGATTTCTTTGCTGCTGATTTAATCACCAGTTGAACATTTCTGAGAATGTGAAAATGAGCACTGTCCCAGGTGCTGCCAGCTGTTACAGCTGGCCCTGGGGACTGGGTGATGTGATGTCTTGGCTTTTGCACTGTTAAAGAGGTTGCAGTGATGATGCTGTGTTTCAGACCGAGAAGTTCTCTGGTGCAGCCAGTGCCCAGCAGAACAGTGCAGTGCCGGCATCCCAGGCAGCAGAGCCAGACCAGGCAGGCGAGGAGCACGAGAACATGAAGAACCTGCTGACCACCAGCAATGACAGTGGGATGCGCCGGACCCGGGCAACAAGGAGTAAGAGCGCCATCTGGTGCTTGAGGCTGAGATGCTAATCTAGATTTGCCTAAACTAACCTCTTTGTTGTTGTTGTTCATAGCTAAAACACTTACCTTCCAAGAACCAGAATCATTAAGTGACTTCTTACTAAAGACAAATAATATCAAAATAATTTTAACTTTTAACAACAGTGGTTGCAGATTTTTAAGACTTTGAAAGAGTCTATAATTCTAAAATATATTCTCCAAACGTCAGATATGTGATTAGGTAGATTGAGATTCAGTGAAAACAAATGTTTAGATATTTGTTTTTTCTGGTTTTAATGAGGTCTAGGAATGGTCAGTGCATCGAGTATCACAATAACAAAAGAGGACAGTCCAGGTTCGCAAGATGATGCAACAGATGAAATTATGGATCGCTTAGTGAAGTCTGTAACGCAAAACCCCAGTGAGAGGCCATCAACTCCCAAAACACGCAAAAGGTCCCGTGCCAACAGGAAATCCTGTGAGTATGAAGTGCTGCTTGTTGACAGAGCAGCCTCAAACATCTGCATCTCTCAGGCTGGCAACACAGTCACTCAAAGACATACACCTTTCACTTCACTCACACTCAGCACACTTCTGCTTACAATACTATAAACGGTACCATTAAGGAAAAGGACAGATCACATGTTGTCAAGTCATGTACAGTAAGTAGTACATTATACTGTAAGCTCATTCATAATGTAAACAGATATTAGGTATATAATAAAATGTGCTTTAGTGAATGTGAATTCAAACTTTTCTGTTTATTGTTCCTGACAGGAAGCATTACTTATAATGGGAAGCTTTAGTCATAGAAACAGACTAGAGAACAATACTACTACTTCATAAAGACTTCAGCTCTTAATGCTTATTACTTTTTTTTAAAATTCTTCTGGTTCTGAGCACTATATTTCACTATAGTCCAGTTATATTTTAAAGTCTAATTTATTCGGTAAGGCCAAAGTCCATAGCTTAAGGTCAGAACAGTAGTGCCCACAGATTTGAACCTACAGTCTAGCTGTTATGAGTCTAAAGACCCTAACCACACTGCTGCCTTCAGTTCATATCCACATGATCTTTAGCATGTGTGTACCCTTTAGCTACCACATTCTCCAATTTGTTGTAATTATGGGAGTGTTTCCTTCCTGTGTGGTGTGCAGCAGATAAGGTATGGAAGATGAGAGGAACAGTAGCTTTCAGTAGGCCAGTCAAACTTCACAGCTTTACTCAGAACATTAATTATGGTAAGACATAAACACTTAAGTCCCCTGGTACCTGTTGACATCAGTTACAATACATAGGAGCTACAGTTTACAACTTTGAGTTTGCAGACTTATTTATTTCTCCACAGTATACACTGTTTTAGCTGTTCTGTGTGCAGTTACCTGAATTTAATTCCTACCGGTGTGAATTGTAACCCTTTAATAAAATGATCTGACCTGTGGCTTTTCTGCTAGGGGGTTGTGACAGTGCCCTGATTATTGTGTTCTGTCCCCAGTGCGGAGGACTCTGAAGAGTGGACTGTCCCCGGATATGGCCCAGGCTCTTGGGCTGAGCCAGCCCACCGAGGATCTGTGAGACCAGCAGAGCACAGAGTCAAAAGAGAAAAAAGACAAACTCACTTTGAAATGCTGAGGGTTTGAGAACATGTTTAATAATGTTCTGAGCATTAGGCAACTTAAAAGACCCAACAAACATGCTAGAAGGACAAAGAACCAATAACCTTCGTGAATTTAATAAACCTTGAAAGACCTAAAGTAGTGTAGTGTCTTTAATACTGAAACTGGTCTTTTTCAGCATCATGTCCTTATTGAATCTAAACATGTTATCAATAAATAACCATCGCATGGCAGAACCTACAGTAAAAGGCTTTGAAGATTTACTATTTTACTATATAAATAGGATAAAGTGTTTTAATTGTAAAAACGTTTTCAGATGCTAACCTGTTGTATAAGTTATAAGCGCTTTGAGAAGCCACCTTTAAAGGCACTATATAAAATAACGTTTATTATTATTATTATTATTATTTTATTACAGTGTTGGTGCAATAACGATTTTAAAAAAGCTCGTCGACGGGCGTGTGTATTCCTCCAGCCTG